AACGTTTTCCTTCTTTTCTGTTAGATTTGCCAGCCATATTTTAAGTCTAGGCTATTCCCACAGAAAACTGGGGATTTGCTGGTTTTGGAAGTTTTGCTGGCGAATGACAGGAAGTCAGAAGTGAATTGTGGACTCACCGATGGTGTGGGCAGGCAGGCCCTGCGGATGGCCTCCGAGCTGGAGTGCAGTGGAGTGTATTTGGGCTCGTGGAGTATGGGGTGCATACTGAAAGGTTGTTTGCTGTTCATCGACATCATGATTGCAGAAGTGAGGGAGGGTCGTTGTCCGTCGTCCTCGTTCGGCTCCGTTTTGGTTGTTTTCTAAAAAGAAACGCCTCGGGAGAAAAACCTGCCAGTCGCAGACACTTACAGTGAAATGTCGTGCGTGATCGGGGTCGTGGGTGCAAGTCGGGCTCGCTTAAAAACCAGTAGAAGAGAAGGAGAGGTAACTCCGGGCTCCTGCGGGTCTCCTGTCTCCTTTCCGCCTGTAAATGACTTCTATAATAAAGATGCTCCTCGCCTCCAGCTCCTATATTGGACCACTGCCGCGCAAGCTCCTCCTCATTGGTGGATCCTCTCTCCCTCCCTCTGGACGCCTCCACCAATCACGTGGAGATCCCCGATTTAGCCACGCCCGTAAAGCGTGCCTGGCCTGCTGGAAAGGAGAAACGAGGAGGATTGCTGTGTGGTTGCACTGCTAAAACAATATTCGTTGAAATAACTGAAAATCAACACCTGCAGGAGGCAAGTGGCTCTGAACAGTTAGACAGTTAGTGGAAAAACTGGACCACCAAGAATCCTGGACACAGGAAGTGGAAAGTTAAAAGCTCAGACATAAAAATAAATATGTGGTTCATTGTCTCATAATGATATTGATTAATAACTATTCCCCCACATTTCTGGATTAAACAACAACTAATCTGAGCTGTGTGGCCATGTAAGGCTCAAATTTAAATGTCAACAAGATGCTTCACAGTGAAAAGGTGATTATGGCCTTCAAACACTCAATTATTGAATGGAATTTTAAATGCGTATTTGAGGCTTTCGTTCTGGAAGATCTGGTGCTGAAATATAAAAACCTGATTTTTAGAGTGTTGCAGAGCTCCTCCACAGTTCAACAGCAGAGCAGACAGATGATTACAGCTGTACTGTATTTTCTCCTTCAGCATGATGCTCACACTGAAGCTTATCTGGGTGTAATTCATTCTTTAAAACTATTTTCTCTCCATGTTGCTGCTTCTTTTTAAAAAAAAGCTGAAAGGGATTATTTTACATCTTTACAATACATAGATCATGCTATGATGATTTCAGACAGCAACTATGAAAAAAGCTATCTATCCATCTATACTGGGTGATAGCTGACTGATCAACAATGCAACCAGTACTCCAACACACACACACACACACACACACACACAAACACATAAATCAACTTTAACACTAACAACTTCTACAATCTCTGTCAAGGGGCAAAGTTCTTGTTTTCTGATATTTTCTTGATTTTATGAATTCTAATATGTGTTTTTGTTTTGTTTTTATTTTTACTCTTTAATTTATTAATGCTTTGGCAAATTTTACACTCATGTCAATCAATCAAATATTGAACTGAAATTGAATTGAATTGAATTGAATTGAGAGCGAGAGAGAGAGAGAGAGAGAGAGAGAGAGAGAGACAGAGACAGAGATTGAGCTCCAATTATTAATTAATGGCAGGAATTCCTCCGCCTGAACCCCATTCACTTTCTTGGCAATTAATACATTAATTAATCATGCTTCATTTACTTTGTGGCCGTAGTAAGGTCCCCCCCCCCACACACACACACATTCTCTCAATTAAAGAATAAACAGGCATGAACGGGAACTAAACAGCACAAACAGCGGACGATGAAATATTTACAGATGAACCTCGCGGGGTCACCAGGGCGGCAGCTTGTCAATCAAAAAGGGGATTTCCGGCGGCCAGGCACGCGCGCGATAAAACGGAATAATTATCCCAATAATCACCTAAAGGCGCATCCCGAGGGGAAGGGGTCAAAGGGCAGCCGGAGGGGTTGAAGGGGTAGTGCAGGTAATCCCTCTTTTTGTGTGATTATGTGGCTGTTGCTACATGCACAACAACAGTATAATAATAATAATAATAACAAGTAATCAATAGAATAATGAATAATTTTATTTATTATTTTTTATGTACTGTATTATTAAGAAAACTGTTTATTTGTGCTCATGAAATAAAACAACAACATTGGCAATATTTATTCAGTTCAATGAGATGTCTCAATTGGGCTAAACATAAAACATTTGTAAATATGAGTTATGTGTTAAGAATAATTAACTTTAGGGGTAAAACAACCTGTGTGTTGGCCTTAAGCTCACAAGGGAAACAGTAAGATTTTACTGTAAATTCAGAAAGGCTTACTTATTTTAAGATACATTCGACCAACTCAACTCAACCAACTTAACTGAATGTCTGAATGTTTTAGTTGTTTTTGGTTCAGCTGAATGATCAAAACTGAAACTACACCTCATCATTGCACAAATTCTGACATTTGTGAATAAATCCATGCTCACAGTGTTCACTTGTGCGTGTCTGTTGACCCTGAGGGACACTACTGTGCAGTCAATATGCACCCCTCATGGAAATTTCATTCTTGTCTAGATTAAAATTCACTTAATTAAATTTTAGTCCAGAACTTTCACCTTTGCAGGTATAAAATGAAACAAAAGTTATTAACAAACTGTAGGTGACTCATATGTTTTTGCAACAGGTATCTTCCCTCAGACTTCATGGAGATACCTGTGTTTTTATGGTGCACATGAAATCAGTAACTACCAACCAAATAGTACAAAATTACTTTTAAACAGGTTAATGAGCTGTCTTCGAGTCAGTGAACAGTGTGTGGTGAAAGAGATGCAGGGAGGTTAAAGAAGGATAAGGGGAACAGAAAGGTGCGCTTAAAGTCTCCTGATGGAAACGTCTCTTAACGTTCCCCTCTGCTGTACATCATTACCCAACATTCTGGATGCTGTTTTATTGGCTACTTTCGATCCGTCCTTCATGATGAGCCATAGTGGCTGAAATTTTTACTGTTCCAAGCTTTTTTTACTGTCTACTAAAGGAGAACATTGTCGTCAAGCTGTAGGTTTCCCCAAACGTGGTCACAAAACACCCTAATTTAATAGTTACATACGTTTGTAAATCCTTAATTTCATTAACTATGATTGAAAATCATGAAAATGTTCTATTGAGGTATTACTCCTTTAATAGGGGGCAACTGGAAAACCCCTAAAGGATCAAATTAACATGATATAATTCAACATTTAAATCTAGGTGTATATTTAACTGTTTCATGGTTTTCCTCACAGTAAAAGCTGAAGATGTGCGTCAGACTGGACTGTGCTGGGTCTTGCCCCTGCTGTAACTCTGCCTCCTGGTCTGCTGTCCTGGCTGAAACTCCAGCCCTGACTCACCGGCTCGCCTACAAAAAGAGCAGCAGTGTCGGTGACGGCAAGTAGGAAACCTGAGCGAGGCCCATTGTCCTGTTGTAGCCACAGCCCTCCAGAGGGTCCCCAGCACCCGCTCATCAAATATACATCACCCGCCTCTACTGGGACGCAGACAGGCAGGACGCTCCTCTGGGAAGGCGACACCGCATGGACAAAATGCAGGGAGTCCAGCTGGGGTGGGAGGGAGGAGAGAGAGAGAGAGAGGGAGGGAGGAGGAAAGGATGGAGGAAGAAAGAGGAGCAAGAAGAGAGAGGCAGTCAGTAAAAACCAAGTTCAAACTTTAAGGTCACCACTTTTTATGAAATAGTCATCTGATTAACAGTTTATTAGAATTAGGTCGGCATCTGTTTAACTGTTCAGTTTTTGTTTTTGCCTGTGAGGACATGTGAATGCGTGTCCTTTACACAATTTATTTAAAGGATCAGTGTTAAATAAAAGGAAAAACCAACATAAAATGTCTTAGTAAGGTATTGTTCCACTGCAAGCCTCCAGAACATCAATATTAAATCCAGATTTAACATAAATTAACTTAAAGTAACTAAATCATCAGAAAATTCTGCAAAAGTAAATGTGCATTTAATTTATGTGCATTTCCATCCACAACTGCCATATTGTTATATATTAGGAGAAAACAACTGGATGCATGATGCATTAAACCACTGCTGAAGAAGAGGGTGTAACAACATGTAGTTAAAAGTGCATCACTCAAACGTCAAATGGTGGAAAACCACAAAAAAAACAGGATGGAAATATGGCATTTATGTTTCAATATCAATTTCTTACTCGCCTCAGCAGTCCACATGTTTTTATCTACCACCATTTTTAGCCTCTTTAGTAGAGCTAAAGTTTGTCTGTGTTTTTCACAAACAGGCCTGAAATACAATCATCATCGACAGACATGCAAATGAGAGATGTGGAGAAGCTGCCACACGGCGGCACTCTGGGAGCAGTTAGGGGTTAGGTGCCTTGCTCAAGGGCACAAGAGGCGGCATACTGTGGTCCCTGCTGGACTTGAACCGGTGACCCTCTGGTTCCCAAGCCAAGTCCCTACAGCCTGAGGTACTAGAGCTATGACTGCCTACCTACTGCTGCCTGTGATTCATCATTTCCATTTCCTCCTCGTGCCTTGTCATCAGAAATGTAATGGCCTTCCCTCTTAGTCAGGTTCAAAGGTTCCAATTTAAAACACTGGCCAGTTGAGCAGTTTCCGATCATTTGTGCACCATGAACTCTATTTCAAACTCCCAAAGAGAAATTTCCTCTTGCCAAAAAAATGTCAATGGTATTTTTATACTACACATAGATCATGATGGGATGTTTATTGCTTTAATTATATCATGCAGTGCAAGAGTAGGGAAGCATCTACATTTACTGTTTCTGTTCTGTGTCTCTTTTAATTTATCCTCACTTGTTTGATATGATTTTGGAAATAGAAAATACATACATCCAATTTGTCCCACAAAACAAAACAAAAACTAAACACTAAAGTAAACTAACACACTAAACACACTAAAGGAAATACTTTACTGCCAGTTCGCTGATATGTCACATGTGGGGAGGAAGCTGGGGACGGCTGTAGTTTTGCAGTTTCAGTGAGCGCACTAAAAACAGAGCTGAAAAACAGTTTTTATTTGTGTGTACATGAACAATATAATGTACGTGCATGTGTGTGTACGGTATGTGCAGCTATGCATGGGTGACTGTGTGTTTAGAGTGCAAGATGGACTCTGAGGGATCAAACGTCCGGCGAAGCT